CCTGCTGAAAGCATTGTGCACTCCTTAGAAACTATAGCTACAACCCAACCCACTGTTGGTGATGGCTAGTGAAGCTGCAGAAGGGAAGTCTTGGAGGAATCCTGAGGAAGCTTGAACTGTTGAAGAGCTGTCTGACGTTCAGAGAAGCTCTCCAGTAGGCCAGACTCCTTAACCATGCTTTCCTGATGTGGAAACAGTTAAGTGTAACCTCACGTAGACTGCTTCATACTGCAACTTTGCTGGCTCTGTGTCTCTCAGTATTACTGTCAGGAAAATAGAAAAGGTTCCAGCTCTCTTCCATCTGCCATATGAGGTTTGAGGGCAGAAATTGCCTTATGTAAAATTCCTGATGATGGGAAAGCTGCCTGTGAAAGAAGGAACATGTGCTATGCTTGCTTTACTTGGATGTTGAGGATGACTTTCGTTTAACTCTTGAAAAAACAACACTAAAAAGCACTGGGTGCTTACCACCCAGTGTCAGTGATATAAACCTCTGTTGGAGGCTCCTGCTGATATTTAGAACAGGTCCTCCAATGCAGAATGAGACAGGAATCTTTTCTGCTAACTACCTTATTAATTATGGGGAGAGTAAAGGCCAAAATTCACACATAAAAGTGGTTTGGTGGTGAGCACACAAACAGGTAATTGGTAAAATAAATTTATTGGATAGACCACCTCAGTCTAACTTCTTTTCTTCCTCTCAAGTCAGATGCTTACAGACTAGGTGAGTTAAGGTCTGGCATCTCCATCAAGAGTTTGTAGTCTGCACAGGACAAGAAAGTTTGGTTTGTAGGAAAATTTTAAACCTCTATACTTGTATAAATGTAAAAATCCAGTTGAGTGACTGCTTGCCACTTTGTTAAAAAGATTTTTTGTGTGTGCTGTGGAGACCATCAAAATCTCTAGTAGGAAAAGATGCTGTGATCCCTTCTTCCCACTCTGGCTGCTTCTCAGCACTTCTAGCAGGTTAGAAGCAGTAGAAAGACTGCTGCATCCTAGAGATCCCCCAGGTTTGGGTGCTTTTCTGTTAGAGCACTTGTAATGACCCCACAGTATATGCAAAGGCTGGTAACGAGGTATTCTTGTATGAACAGGAGAGAGTGCTCTCAGCTGGACATGCCAGGATGGTAAGGATTGGTGTGTGCCTTTTATTTGAGTAGGTCACTTAGAAAAAGCTATTTGGAAAAATGTACAGTAGGTATTTTCACTTCCTGATGCTTTGATTCCTGCATGCTATACTGTTACAGAAGTTGTGGATGTGATCTATTTGTGGGCTGTTCATGGTTGAGTCTTATCTGTGCTTGGTGATCATTTATCTTCCAAGCATGAAGGAAGAACTTGCTTAGAGGTTCTTGACTGTGTAGAAGACCGACCCTAATGAAGTGACTCAGTCACTTAGGGAGGCCTTTTTCCTTCATAAAAAAACCCCTAGGAAAAGCAGGGGCTTGAATTTCAAATAAGATAAAAAAAACCAAGCAACTGGAGGTGGAGACTAACTGTCCTTCAAGTAAAATACCATGAGTCAGGGCTGAGGTTGGATTCTCTTGACTTGCAGACTCTTAATACAGTTTGAATGGTGATTAATGGAATGTTTCCATGAAATTAGTATCTCCAGGGCTGCACTGTTTCAATAAATAACAGTAATTCTTACTTTAAAATGGTCAGATTAATGCACGGTAGTGTTGTCTATCAGGCTTTGTAGGCTATAAATAGCACTGGACCTTTATGCAACCCAGAAGAGAGGTTCCTTTCATTTACTTTTTTTTCCTGGCTCCTGTGTTAAGTGCAATTCACTTTGTAAATATACACATCACTTGATTTTTGTGCATGGTTATGATGTATTGTGGATATAAAGATTGCCAAATCATACCGTGTGTGTAAAGTTCTGTTCCAAACGCAATTGTAGAATAAGGTGGGAACATTGCCAGTTCCAAAGCCCCCGTGCTGCGGTTGACAAGTGTCAGTACCCCTGCTGTGGCCAAGGGTGTGCATGGTCGGGCCTGTGCCACCGTGGGGAGCAGCATTCCAGCACCAGCAGTGAATTGCCCTCGGGGTATCCAGTACATCCGGGAGCAGATGTTCTTGAGAGGGCTCTTCCCATCGCCTTAGGACACTGCGTTAGTCGTTGGAGGGGTTTCTGCTGCCCTCTTGCACCTGGCCTGGCAGGGGGCCATCACTGACAGTGCTTGTCGCTGCTCCTGGGGAGCCAGCACATGGCCCCCCGTGCCCTGGTGGCCCTCTACAGAGGGACGGAGGAGTCTGCTCTGGACATTCGGTTGTCTGCTGCTCCAGAAACAACCACTTTGGAAAGCCAGCCGAGACTTGAGCCGCAGGGCGGCGGCAGGAGAGGGAGGGCTGAGGCCGCGCCGGACACTGCCTGGTGGGGCCCTTCTAGCTGCGGCCCGAGGGGAGGAGGCATCGCCAGGTCGCCTCGCCGCTCGCTTCCCCCC